TTTATATATTTATATATTTATATATTTATATATTTATATATTTATATATTTATATATTTATATATTTATATATTTATATATTTATATATTTATATTTATAGTGTTTGTGTGTCTGGGTGCTACAGCTCCTCCCACATCTCCTGTTCCCATCACACATGTGCAGCCTTCCTGCTGTGCCCTGCACTATTCCCTTAGTCAAGGGACAAGGGATTGGGGTCAGCAGGATCCATCCAGGATGCTCCAGCTATAGAGAGGGAATCTCTGTGCAGCCTCCACAGGATGGGGGAGCACTAGGGTGTTATAGAACCCGTTTTTAATGTGGTGTAATCCATGAAATGAGAGCTGAAGGAGGCTGTAAAGGCTGGAGGAGATGAGCTGAGATGTTCTGTGAATATCCATGTCCTGTCTACAGGGTCACCTGACTCCCCCTCTGTGCCCAGTAACTGCAAAGTGTGGGATGTGAGCCCGTCCCTGCCAGGCTCCCAGTCAAACCAGTCCATTCCACTCTGTGTGTGCAGGCCAAGCCTGGATCTGCACTCACAAAGCTCCTTCCCACAAGCCCTTTGCACCAAATGGCTAAAGCAGCCAAATTTGCCACAATTGTTCTTCCAATGAACGTGATCATGAATTAATAATGGAATTTTGAAGGCTCTCTGTGTGCTTGCTGCATCCCTGCTGCTGCACTCCCAGCTCAGAGCTGCTGAGGAGCTGCATCCACGCTGATTCATTTTGCACTAATAACAGCCTTCCCCGAAGAGGGATAAACAGCATGCTGGAGTTTCTGCTGGCAAAACGCATCTCCAAATGAGCTGCTTAAAATGGTTAACAAAAGGCTATTTCCAGCTCCTCCACCCAGCTGGAGCTGGCTCTGCTCCCTGCCTGGTACTGTCTGCATCTGTCCCAGGAGTTACAGAGCAGGGAGGGGAGGCAGGGCTGGGTGCAAGCAGCAGGTCAGCAGGTTTGGGACAGGCAGAAAAGGGGCTGCAGGCACAGAGAGGGGACACAGCCCTGCCGTGTCACCAAACAGCATGGCCAGCACAGCCCAGCCAGGGAGGGCTGGATGTCACAGACACCATCCTCATCCTCCAGCTCCTCCCTGGCCCATTGGTGCTGCCAAGTCCTGGGCTCTGCAAGGAGAGCAGGTCCCAGCAGTGCCTTTCACTGCTATAGCTGCTCACTGACACAGGGGTGCTTTACTTCTGGCTGGCTGAGTGAGCACTTGTCAGACACTTCTCTAATCTCAGGTATAATAAACCTCCCCCACCAGCTCCCTGCCTCCCGAATCTGTCATGTGAGCCAGCTGTGCACAAGGAAAGCTCCTTGCATGTAGATGATTTATCTGTCCTCAATCTGATCCAAACACACCCCCTGAGCACCATCAGGCTGCAGCAGCTCCTCCTCCCTGAGCCTGCTTCCAGGACACTGGGGGGAAGAGTTTGCATTTGCAGGGATCACGGAATCCCAGACTAGTGTGGGCTTAAAGCTCATCCAGCCCCACCCCCTGCCATGGGCAGTGACATCTTCCACTATCCCAGGTTGTTCCAAACCTCATCCAACCTGGACACTGCCAGGGATCCAGGGGCAGCCACAGCTGCTCTGGGCACCCTGTGCCAGGGCCTGCCCACCCTCACAGCCAGGAATTCCTTCCCAATATCCCATCCAGCCCTGCCCTCTGGCAGTGGAAGCCATTCCCTGTGTCCTGTCCCTCCATCCCTTGTCCCCAGTCCCTCTCCAGCTCTCCTTTAGGGCCTGGCAGGGGCTCTGAGCTCTCCCTTCACTTCTCCAGACTGAACATCTGATCCATGATGATCCCATGAAGGATCATCCCAGGAAGGACCATTCAGGACTGCAGCCTTCCTGCAGGGTTCTGGGGGGAGCACGGGGAAGTGCAGAAATGTCATGGGCAGTGATGGAGAGGAAGGTGTCTGGTTAAGGCAGGTACCTCAGGGGGCTTCCCTGCAGCCTGGCCTGCTCTCCCTCGGGGGGATGCCACAGTCATGGCTCCCATCTGCTCCCACCCTGCAGAGACCCTGCAGAGCTGGATGAGACAGCAGCAGGAGGGTAAATTTAGATTAAATATTGGGAAGAAATTCTTCCCTGTGAGGGTGGGGAGGCCCCAGAGCAGCTGTGGCTGCCCCTGGATCCCTGGCAGTGCCCAAGGCCAGGCTGGACAGGGCTGGGAGCAGCCTGGGACAGTGGGAGGTGTCCCTGCCATGGCAGGTGGGGAATGGGATGAACTTTAAGTTTGCCTCCAACCCCAACCAGCCTGGGACTCTGTGACTGTCTGAGAGCTCTGCTGAGGCACACAGGCACAGCAGAAATGTCACCTCAGAGGTGCCAGAGACAGAGGATCCTCAGCAGTGCAGCCCTGCAGGCTGGAAGATGGCCACTGGCAAAGAGATTTGATTAGAAATTAATCAGCATCTGAAGCAAAGTGTGATATTTAATAAAGGGTGAGGAGCTGCAGCAGAGCCCAGGGGCCAGGCTGTCACAGGCACAGCCCTGAGGCACAGCAGGGAAGGGGCCCCATCCCCAGCCAGCCCAAGGACAGGGCTCACAGAAGGTCACAGCTGCTGTTTAGGACACGTCTGGACCCCAGAGCCAGCAGGGAAATGCTGCCACCCTACATGACACCCATAGCCCAGTGTCCCTAAGTCTCCCAGAAATTTAGAAAAGCTTCTCAGCATCACCCTGGGGGAGCTGGTAAACGTGCTCTGCCCTAAACCTATTCCAGCTTCAGATCAGGACTGAATTAAAAACCACTATTGATTTTGGATTGCCACTCCCAGCTTTTGATGTCTAAACTGGCAGTAGCCTTTTAATAATGTTTTTGAGGTTCTTCCTTCACCAGATGGGAAAAAAATATTCCTTTTTTAGGCAGAAACTGAGTATTATGCTTAATGTCATCACTCAGGGAAGTGGAGCTTTAACAAATATATTTTTATCAGAGTTGCTGAAAGCAAGGGAGCATCCCTTCCTGATTCTTGTCAGGGAGAAGGGAAAGGCAAGAGAGGGAACAAGGATTTTGCTGTTGAGGAGCCAGGTCTCAGTGAAAACTCAAGCAGATCTGCAGAGAGTGGTGTCTCAGCTCCAGCTCCAAACCAAAGTGAGATTCTGAGAGAGGCTTTGCGTGCCATGCACTGAGCTGGGTGATCCCAGAGGAGCAGCAGGATGTTCATCTCCTGGAAGAACAACATCATGGGCACAGTTTCTTGGTCTTGTCTCTGAAAAGATTCCTTTTTCCTCTCCCTGCCTGTACACCCAGAGATGCAGCACTTCAAGGTCTGCAAGTGTGAGTAGTTCCTTTGCTGGTTCCCAATCTCTTATTCACTAAATTGTTGGCTTCGGTATTTTTTGTTAGTGGGAGCACATTTTGCTGAATCCAGCAGGTGAGGGATGTGAGGCTGCTGCAGCTGCCTGCCCCCAGGTCTGTCAGAGTGAGGCTGAAGATGTGCACAGCACACACCTGTACTGCAGGTACAGCTCTATGTGCTCACTGTGCTGCAAAGAGAGAGAAAGGACAGCAACACACACGGAGCTCTTTGGGGAAAAAAGGCCAATTTATTGTACAGACAGCCCGGATTTAAAGTGTGTTAGTGCAGCCAGGACAGGACAGGAGCTCATTGGACAATTGGGAAAAACATCCTTGGGACAGCACCTCAGGATGTGTCCCACGGCAAAGACACCAGGGGTTAATGTTTATTGTGAATTCCACTCTGTTTGTCACCATGTTCTCACCCTGGGAGACTCCTCCCTAACTGAAGCTGCAGTCAGCTTGTCAGCCTGGGAATGGAGCTGAGAGTCAGGAGAAATCCAGGCCTGGAAGGAATTCCCAAGCTGTAATTCCCCAGCTCTCTGAATGTGTGTGTCCACAGCTCTATACCTGTGTAAGTGAACACCTGGACACCTGCCTGGCCTCACAGCTCACAGACAGACACCAGGAGCAGCCACGTGGACATCAACAGCACCAAACAGCCTCATCCTGCTGTGGCTGAGCAGGATGCAGGTGTAACAGAGAGAATATAAACACACACACACACAGGTATGTGCACCATGGATCCCTCCAGCAGCTGGGTTCAGACACCTAATTTATCCATAATGTTATAAATGCATATTATGGTATTGGCTTTTTGCAAATATTAGGGTAGATACTCTGTGTGGTGTTAAAATGGTTTTTCAGATATCGTTTTCTCTAGGAGTAACATAAACTAATAAAGTATCTTTGCAGTAAGTGAACTGCCTTGGTTGGATAACACCCAGTGAAGACACTGCTACTGATACACCAGCTACCAGCACTGTAGAAATTAAAGACCACAGCCCAAATTAAGAAAAATAAATTCAAATCACAGCCAAGAAACACACATGCTGTAAAAAAGTGGACTCAAGGAATGACCATGTAAAGCAGTTCCTGGAATATGGAAAATAGTTTATAGAAAAGTTTAAAATTGTATGATGGGTCTATGAATATGCAAGGGGCTGATGAATTTAAGGGGTGTCTCCAAAACATCTCTTAGCTAAATGAGCTCTTAGCTAAATGCCAAGCACTTGGCTGTATAAGCTTTGGCTTTATTGTTTGTCTTTTATTGTCTTTTATTAAACCTTTTAAAATGTACTGGGAAAGTGAACCTCGTTTTTCACAATAATAAGTCAAGAAATGCTCTTCCCCCTCATCCCACGTTGGGTCTCACACCCCGGGGCAGAAATGTCCTTGTTCCAAAAGGTGACCTGGGAGCCACATGCAGTGATGATTTTCACACCCCACTGGAGCAGATGGCTGTGCTGGGACAGCTCTGGGAGGGCCCATGGTCAAGGTGGTTGTTCCTCGGGCACCCGGCACCTTGTCCTGTGCCCCCCATGGGCTGATGGTTCTCCTCTGGGGAGTCTGGGGTAGCCCCAGGGTGGAGTTTGAGCTCCCCCTCTCTTCTTGCACCTTTGTGGATGTGCAAACGAGCTTTTATCACATCCTCTGGTCTCTAAATTGAGCTGTCCGAGCCGTGCAGAGATGTGGACGGTGCTTTGCACCATCTGAAGTGCAATTTCCTGCTCACTTTGCCCAGTTCTTCCCTCCAGTGGTCTGCAAAGTTTGTTTTCTGCCAGCCCTGGCGATTGGCACACTCTGCTGCAGTGACTGCACACCCAAACACACAGAGTTGAAATTCAGGGGAGGTGTCCTGTCTAGAACAAGAATTGTCACTCATTCACATTCTGATCAAGCACTTTAAACCTTCCAGAATGGTGCCCAGGCTGGATCTGGAGGCAGCAGGCAAAGGGACAGGTCCTTGTCCCTGTCCCCACTGTAGAGGCAGGGAAACCAAGAAGCTGCCATCAATCACAGGGCCTGAGCAGAGGCTTCCAAGGATTTAAATCATTAATTAAGATTAATGAAATGCACTTTTACAGTTTATTTAAGTGCATGCTCCGAACCTGAAACCTCGTTGTTAATTAGTGAGGGAAATAATTTGAAAGGCTCAGACAATCCCCTCTTAAGCCCTGGTGAGGCACATCCAGCTCCAAGTGGAGGATAGGGCTCTACCCAGGGGATGCTATATCAGAGCAGCGTAGGAGACACTTAAAAAGAGACACACATCCCAATAATATGTGATTTTGGGGAATTAGAGAGATCCATCCAGCTCAGGACTGAGAATGGGAGGCACAAACTGTAATCTCCTTGTATCATTGTGGCAAATAAGAGGCTTCATTTGACTTCTCCAAATAAATTACATCCAAAAAATTCAGGCATCACTGGAAGGATTAGAGCTCCTTAGAGATCCCACTGCCCAGCCTTGAATCCTCCTTGTGAAGGCTAATGCAATCAAAAACATCCCATTACAGGATGAATCTGACCTGGAAATAAAATCACATCAAATCCCACATGAAGCCCAGCTGGAGGGTCCTGCATGTATCACCTTGTGCTTGGCCTCATGCTGGGACCTCTGTGTCCCCCAGATCAGATCATGGAATCACAGAATCCCAGACTGGTTTGGGTTGGAAGGACCTTAAAGCTCACCCAGTCCCATCCCCTGAATGGCCAGGGGCACCTTCCACTGTCCCAGGGTGCTCCAAGCCCTGTCCAGCCTGGCCCTGGACACTTCCAGGGACCCAGGGGCAGCCACAGCTGCCTTGGACACCCTGTCCCCACCCTCACAAGGGAGAATTCCTTCCCAATATCCAGAGGACCAGGATCTGGTGTCCAGAGGCAGCCACCTGCAGGCTGCTCTGTGGTTGCCCACTCTGGTGACATAAATATTAAATAAATAAAGGATTATTTATAGGATCACAGGCATCCTCTGCTGTGACAGGCACAGCTGTACAGAGCACTGGGCCTGGCACACAGTGACTGGAGCAGCCCAGTGTTGGATAACGGGAATAAACAACTGCCAGGTATGGATGTGATTGGCTGAATTCAAACTCAAACACGGGACCCCAGCCAATCCCTTTGAACCAAGCCAGTGAGCTGGGCGGGGCTAAGCCCCTTGGCCAATCACGTTTGTCAGCACAGGAAATTGGGAGTCCCTATAAAAAGCTATTAAAGCCTCTCTTTGAAGCCCCTATAAAAAGAGATGCACATCAATAAACCTTGTCTGGTGCTTCGTGACCTCAGTGTGTGGTGTTGTCACATTCCTGTCTCCGACATCAGTGACATTCCAGTGCAAACTTCCCTCAGGATCAGGAGTGTGGAGCTGTTTCAGGACTTTGGGCCCCTCACTGGAGTGTTTGTAAAACAGTGTTCAGAGTGACCTTCCCCACAGTGCAATAAACCAGACACACTGGCAGTAAATTGCATCAATTACAGGGAAGTCAGTAATTAATTAGAAGCTGTGATTCTTCCCATCCCTCATTGCAGCTCTGAAATTAAAAGTCCAGGTGAGGAATCACTCCAGGCCAAGGAGTCAGTGCTGGGGCTGCCACACAATTGCCCCCACACGAAGAAGATTGTGGAGTGGCCTCTGAGGTGTGGCTTGATTTGCTTCTGAGTTGGCAGCAAGGACACGGGTCTGAGCTCTGCCTACAGGAGAGGATTTGGATGGGAGTGAATCCTGGGTGGCTCATGCAAGTGGAAGTGCCTGTCCAAGCTGGGAAGGGGCTGTGTCCCTGTGGGAAGCAGTGGAGGTGGCTGAGGAGGGGGAGCTCGTGGCAGAAGCAGAGTTTGGGATGTGTCCAGGGAGCTGGGGATCTGATGGAGGTGCCTCAGAGCATGTGGGAAGCACGGGGACCACCCCAGGACTGAGGATACTCTGTTCCCTCTGCTTGGGGACAGAGCCAGAGAGCCACCAAAAATCAGAGGTGCTGAAGGTCTGTGTTCATCAGAGCAGGGTCATCACATCCCAGAATGGCTCAGATTGGAAGCAACCTTCAACACCAGCCCATTCCAACCCCCTGCCTTGAGCAGACACTCATTGAGTGACACTCACACATTGAGGTGTGCATCTTTCAGAGCACAGGAACAGGGAGGCACCGTGGCCTCCAGCCCAATGCAGGCTGAATGCCTCCCTGCCCTGGAAACATCCATCCAGTGCTCAGCACTGTGGGATATTCCCTGGCAAAGCTGAGCTGGGCTGGCTGATGGAGCCCGGGGCACACACTGGGGCCCTGCTGGCCATGGGCAATCAGAGTCTCAGGAGCAGCAATCAGCCACCCTCCAAATTGGGCAAACGAGACAAATGAGCCTGGGAGATCACATTGATCCAGCAGCCAAGGTCAGGTAGAGGGGAGCTGAGTTCCCAGAAAAGTCCCTGTGGAAAGTGAGTTTGAACAGAAATGAGGTGTAATTGGCTGCAGGCAGCACAGACCTCCAGCTGCCATGACCCAGTTAACACTGACACTCACCTGCAGGAAACTTCCACTGCATTTTCAAGGCCTGATGCCAGGGAAAGCAGGTCACAGCATGGAGATAATTCTGGGAAGGGGACATGATGCTCCAGTAGCTTTCAGGATGTGTCTGAGCACAGGGTGCAGGGAGGATCAGTGCTGGTCATCCCAGTCCAGTGGGGAAACACAACTATGCTGCAAACTAGTGCCTGATGGTTCCCAATCCACTGGGATGAGCACATTCCTTTCTGGTGGGGAGATTCCCAAAGGTCTCACCATGGCCTAATGGCCCCAAAGAGTCCAAACCCCACAGAACCAGAACTGAGTACCAAAACTCAGAGCCCAGAGAGGGGCACCCTGTGCCTCCCCTCCAGTACAGCCATCACATGGGTTTGGAAGGGGATCCCACCATGTCCAGGATGTCTCTCAGGGCCTCATCTCCTGAACCTGTAACATAAAGCCAAGAGGGAAAGGAAGGACAAGAATTGGGATTTTTGTTGTTGTTGTTGTTGTCTTGTAAGAATTGGGATCATTTTTGTTGTTGTTGTTGTCTTGTAAGAATGGCACTTCAAGCTATTTTTCAACCTTTAGGGGTGTTTAGGAGATACCATGGACTCTCCTTAAAGGGTGAAGAGGCTCAGGACTCGTTGCTGGAATAGGGAAAGGGTTGGAGTGGGAATCAGTGAATGTGAACAAAGCATAGATGAGCTGAACTGCTGCATGGGGGGGAGTGTGGCCAATTCAGGGGAAATTGTTCATCCTTATGATCAACAGCGGGGAGGCCACCTCACTGTCAGCCAGGGGAAGGGGGTGAGCTGGGAGCTGATCTCTGCTGCAGCTGTTTGGGAATAATTGCAAGGAAGCAAAGCCAAACACATCTCAGTGATGCCAAAGGATGTAACGAGGGATGGTGGGCACACAGGGGACCTCCAGAGATTTGGGATGGACATCAGGAAACATTTCTTCACCCGAGTGTGGTGCAGCTCTAAGACAGGTCACTGGAGCTATGGGATCTCTGTCCTTGGGGGATCTCCAGACTCAGGTAGGCAAAGCCACATCCTCCCTGATTTAATGCTGGAAGAGAGTAGAGAGCTGGACTGGGGATCCCTGAGGTCCTTTCTGCAGCTCTGCTGGCATCCACAGCTCTGTGCCTGCTGGACATCTCTCTTCTCTGGCAGCACTTCCTTCCAGGTGTGCCCTGGCATGGAAGGGCACAGGCTCCTGTCCCCTGATGTTGCAAAGGTCCAGGTTGGCTCCCTGATCCCATCCCAGCTGTGCCCACTGCCTGCAGAAAGGCCCAGGATGCTTTAATCCCTTACTTACCTGCTGTGATCTTTCTTACTGACCTTGGCATGGACAGAATCTCATCCTGGATGCATCCATTGACTTTTGATGGAGGTGGGAAGATGTCAAACATGATCCATTGGTGGCAATCAAGTCAGTATCCATAGAAGAGTCCCGAGGCTCCCTGCAGCCCCTAGTCCTGTAAACACTTCCCCATGCTGGGTTCTTCAGAGACCAGTGTGAGCAGCCCTTGGTGTTCAGCCAGGCCCCACCATCCCCAAAAGCCTTTTGCTTCCTCTGTTTGCCCTTCTCCCCGGGGAAGGAGCCATCCCTGGAGGACAGCCCAGCTCTGCAGGGCAGGGACTCCTGCTGCTCCCCCTGGGGCTCCTGGCGTGTTGTCAGCACAGCTCGGGGCACCCTGCTCTGATACCAGCTTATTTATGGCACATCCTTCCTGTCTTCTCCCTGCTATTATTGCCTAAAATGCTGTAATTTAGATTCTGGCTGTGTTTGATTGCAAACTCCTCCAATCTACAAATTTCAGTGACAAGCACTAGAGCAGCTCATTTACATGCCAGAGTGATCAATCTGCAACTGCTTGTTACACCAGAGAATAAATAAATAACGGATACATTAAAGAATGGGGAACAATCAGCCAAATTAACCAA